TGGAAACATGGAACATTTAACACCCCTGAGGCACCATTCACACATCTACAGATAGATTTTACACATCTCCCTAAATCAAAAGAAGGAGATAAGCTGTTTGGTGGTAGTAGACAGATTTTCAGGTTGGCCAGAAGCTTTCCCATGTACGAATGAAACAGCAGAGACAGTGGTCAAGGTTTTGATGTAAGGAAATCATCCCTAGATGGGGTTGTCCTTTGTTCATAGAAAGCGATCAGGGACCAGCTTTTACTGCAGCAGTGACTCAGGGAGTCTCAAAGGCTTTGAGTATTCAATGGAAGCTCCATATTCCTTATCACCCTCAGAGTTCTGGAGTAGTGGAAAGAAAAGCCACGGGAGGGACTCTGAAGAATTGGTCCAGCTGTGTTACCTGCTATACTAGCTGAAATAAGGATGACACCTCATAAACGGAGTTAAGTTGTCTCCCTTTGAGATACTAATGGGCAGACCATTCCCTACCCCTTGGACTAGACAGCAACCCCCTCTGTGGTAGAAAGGAGATTTAGAGGTGATACAGGCAGAATATGTAAGAGCATTGTGTGAAAAGTTTGAATAGTGAGCATGGTGATGCTGCTGTTTTTTTCTTTTAATCCGCAGATCAACCAACCCACCCCTTTGAGGTAGGTGATCAAGTGGTGATCCGAAGACTGGATCCAAAAGTGAGACCCCGGTTTGGAGAACCTACAGCGATTGTGGCCATTACACGTACAGCTGTTCTTACTGAAGGATCAGGCACCTGGATCCATGCATCAAGAGTCAAAAGGATTTCCCAAGATGAGAGACACAATCAAGCTGATCAACCAACAGAAGAAGGAGCCAAGAACTTTGCTACCCAACCTATTTGGATCCCGTGAGGACTGGATGAACCTGATTATTATCTTATCAATAGTGACTATTATCATCATGTCCCACTATGGTTTCTATTGGAGATTTCATATGATAGAAAGGAGCCAGTGGTTCAGAAACCCTCTGGGAGTTCAGGAAGGGTGAGGGGTTACCTCATCACAACTGAATGATCATCTGTATCAAAATAAGAATTTAATGAGAAGGAAAGGGAGGAAATGTTTTTGCTTCAACAATATGAGGAAATGCATGGGATTGAGACGATAGGGAGAGTAAAGTCAATGAAAAGTGTTATCACTATGTGATATAAAAGAGGGGACTGAAAGGATTAAATGGAATATAACTGAATCCATTTTGTATACACTAATACAAGATGCTAGTTTAATATAACATATATGAGATATGTGCACAGCTAACAAAACTGTCTATGTCAGCTTCATGTAGAAATGAGTGTTTTTGCAAACCCTTACAAAAAAGCAGATAAGGTTTACTCTCACTTCTGAAAAGTTTTAACCACAAATTGGGTGTTAGGTCAGATTAAAGCCATGGTCTGGGCTTTAGAGGAGATATGGTATGATAGATAAAGCAGAAGAGTGAAAATGCAAACCTCATACAAATAATTGTTGAGGTTAAGGTAAAATAATAGTACATGTATTTGATTGGAAGATTCTGAGGGTGTGTTTGCCTAAAGACTACAGTATAATAACCCGATGTTATGCCAATAAAACTGAAGTGTTTGCAATCGCAACTGAGGTGATTTGAGTGCATTCACTTTCCGAGATCTCGTAGCTGTGTCCAGGTGTGTGACCGTTGGTATCTTGAGGGGGCCCCCAAGGAACAGGAAAAAGACCACCTACCTACTTTCAATCAGTGCCTACCCAGTGCACATCAATGCCACATATCAGTGCCCATCTGAGCTGCCTTTCAGTGTCACCCATCAGTGCCATCTTTTAGTGTCACCCATCAGTGCCGCCTAACAGTGCCAGTCAGTGCCGCCTAACAGTGCCAGTCAGTGCCGCCTAACAGTGCCATGTATCAGTGTTGCCTTTCAGTGCCATCAGTGATGCCTGTCAATGCCCATCAGTGCCTCCTCAGTGCCCATCAGTGCCACCTATCAGTGTCCATCAGTGCAGCCTCATTAGCGCACATTAGTGAAGGAGAAAAATCACTTATTTACAAAATTTCATAACAAAAACAAAGAAAAAAACATTTTTTTTGTCAAAATTTTCAGTGGTTTTTGGTTTAAGAAAAAATAAAAAACCCAGAGGTGATTAAATACCACCAAAATGAAGCTCTATGTCACAACAAAAATGATAAAAATTTTCATATGGGTACAGTGTTGTAAGACCGCGCAATTGTCACTCAAAGTGCGACAGCGCTGAAAGCTGGAAATTGGCCTGGGCAGGAAGGGGGTATAAGTGCCCTGTAGACTAGTGGTTTAGAATTGATGGAGCATATAGAATTGGAAGACTCCAACAAGGCAGGAAGGAAAACTCAAGAGATGTGATTGTACAATTCCATAACTATCAGGATAAAGAAGAGCTCTGGAAGAAGATAAAAGGAAAAGCAGTAATAAAATATGGAGAAATAAATATACAGATCTTTGCTGATTTAGCAGCGGAAACATTAATAAGAAGGAGAATTTTGAAGCAGTTACTGGAGCAAATGAGAAAAGCAGAACATTCAATATAGTTGGGGATTCCCAGCGTGTTTTAATCGGATGGAAAAATGGTCGCTCAGCAAGATTGAGATTCCCTGAAGATTTGATAGACTTTTGTAAGACACTTGATTTGCAGGAAATAGTTATTCCTGGTTGGGAGGAAGAAGGAGGGGAGATGTGGGTTATGGAAAAGAGGGTGGCAGGTAGCTCTAAGGAGGAACAGTAAAGAGGAATAGGAGGAGAGGGAGGGTTTTTTTTCTTTATTTCTTTTTTATCTTTCCCTGTGTGGGACTAGGGAGAGGGGGAAGTGGGAGAGATTAATTTTTTTGGTCTGTCCCCTTGTGCTCCTCTTTTTTTTTTTTTTCTTTTTCTCCCTCCGCTCCTACCTCTCTTTTGAGGCCTGAGTTTCTAGAGCATGGCGGGACATGGAGGATGAGATACGCAAACTGGGAGAGGCGTACATGGTCAGAGCTTTAATGTAAAAGGTGAAGCAAAGGTGGGGTTATGACCACAAATGATTTGCAGGCAAATTACAAGCAGTGAATTAGACTGAACAATTTTTACTATCTTGCCAAGCAGCCTCAGTTTTCTGTGTGATGTCATATTATAATACAGTTTTAAATAGCGCCAACAGTTTGCGCAGCACTTTACAATATAAGGGAGACAGTACAATTACAATACATTTCAGTACAGAAGGAATGTGAGGGCCCTGATCATGGAGCTTACAATCTAAAGGAAGGGGGAGGTGATACAAAAGCTGATAGCTGTGGGGGATGATCTGTGGAGGTGACTCAAGTACAGTTCTTAGGAGTAGGTGGGGTAGGCTTCCCTGAATAAGTGGGTTTTCAAAGATCGCCTAAAGGCAGACAGGGTGGGGGCTGACCGGACATGCTGTGGTAGGGAGTTCCAGAGGATGGAAGAGGCTCTGGAGAAGTCCTGGTGGCGAGCGTGGGAGGAGGCGATCAGGGAGCTAGAGAGGAAGATATCTTGGGAGGAGCAGAGTGGGCAATTTGGGCGGTATCTGTGGATGAGTTTGGCGATGTAGCTAGGGGCAGTGTTGTGGATGGCTTTGTAAGCTGTGGTTAGTATTTTGAATTATATACTTTAGGTTAGTGGAAGCCAGTGAAGGGATTGGCAGAGAGGGGCAGCAATCGTTGATCGGTTGGTAAGGTGTATGAGTCTAGCAGCAGCATTCATAATAGACTGATGGGGGGATAGCCTGTGTAACGGTAGGCCAGTGAGGAGGGAGTTGCAGTAATCAAGCCGGGATATAACCAAGGCGTGGATAAGTTGTTTTGTGGTGTCATTGATCAGGAAGGGGTGGATTTTGGAAACGTTCCGGAGGTTGAGGCAGCAGGATTTAGCCAGTAAGTGGATGTGGGTCCCAAAGGAGAGGTCAGAGTCTAGGATTACGCCTAGCACCCCTGGCAAGAGGAGGAAGGACCAATGGTTGGGCTGTTGATCTTAATGCTAAAGTCATGAGTGGGGGATCGGGGAGGAGGAAATATTACAAGCTCAGTTTTTGAAAGATTGAGTTTAAGGTAGTGATGTGACATCCATGCTGATATGTCACTTAGTAGATGTGTGATACGTGAGGAGATTGAGGGGGTGAGCTGGATAGTGGAGAGATAGATCTGGGTGTCATCAGCATAGAGGTGGTATTGGAAGCCATGGGAGGTTTATCAGTTGGCCAGGGAGGAGGTATAGAGAGAGAAAAGGAGGGGCCCAAGGACAGAACCTTGGGGTACCCCAACAGAGAAAGGTATATATTACCATGGAAGCAGCCATGTGACCAACATGTTCGCTCAAGTTTGCTGATTGGATGTGTACCAGTGCAGAAAGCCTGGCCACATCTCCCAGGGAAGAAGGGACAGAGAGAAGGGGTGGATTGCTGAAGTTATATCCACCCTCTTCTAAACAGAAAATGGACCATTACTGCAAGCTACCGGAAAGATAGAGTGCACCTGGTGGAAAACCAAAAGGAGGTAGGAAAGAAAACAACCGATTTGTAATGATGGTAATATTTGCTAATAATTTAACCCATACTTCTCCTTTAAGATCACATTAAAAAAAACAGCTCCCTACTGAACAATATATTTTTTTGCATTGGTACATGTCCCCCATGGCAGTGCCCTTATTTAAAAAAGATAAAATTAGTCTCCCATAGACTTTAATAGGGTCCAGTTGCTATGTTCAGGATTTGCAGATTTTTTGCCAAACATCACTAATCAGATTTTATCGAAAGGTGAAATTAACCTGCAATTGACCTCCTATTGACCTTTTATTTAACTGAATATGATTTATCTTTTCAAAGTGAAAAGTAAACACAGTAAAACTGAAAGCCTTAATTTTTGCCCCAAATCAGTTCCCACAGAAATATTACCTCTAAAACTTGCATTAGCAGTTAAGAAAAATTACAGGGAACACCTTTAGCAAATATTGACAAATTCCCCCATCGCGGCAACTGAGGAAATCTTACCTCCATTACCCTGGGCCCATTCATCTTCAGTCTGCCTTGTAGCATTAGCTTCAATTACACTTGACAGCTCATTAATTATCAGTTTATAGATCTTAACCAGTAGGGGTATGGTTGTAAAACGTTGTGGAGCTATGAGAAATACATAAACAATGTGATGAAGACTAACAAAAAATGTACAGTACAAAAACATCTATGTCTGATTTTATAATCTATTAAAAAAAAAGTCACATTTGCCAAAGACATTCATCCTTCATATTGACATGACTATGAAAAAAAATCATATATCTTACTGCATGACAGCGATGCAACTGCAGAATATTAAAGTTAAAGTATAAGTAAAGTCAAATTTTTATTAAAGTTTATGAGAGAACACAACAGTACCTTTGTACATCAAAACACACACACACTGTAAAGTAACAGTCAAGTGGCGCAGCCTGTGAAATAGCAACCTTTTTTACATTTTTTTAATTAAAATAACAAAAACGTGTCCTCCTCTTCTCGGGTCCCCTGGCGGCGAATTTGGTTCCTGCTCTTCTTTTCTTCATGTGTCTCCATAGCAAGCCATTTATTATGGAGCCACACAATGTCTGTTCGCTCCTGAGTGGTGTATCTATGGAACCATGCTCCACAGAGACACACAGCTGGACTTAGCCCTTAGCCCCCTTTTCCCTCCTAACTGCATATGATCGACAGCTATTCGAGTCCCTGTGTGAAGAGGAAGAGAGGGGAGAAGAGATGCAGCCATGCACAGCACTGGATCTATTCTCCCCTCTCTTCCCCTTCACATGGGGAAGGGGGGAAGACAGAGGGATAAAAAAAGTGTTTTTCACCTTAATGCTCTAAGTGTGTTCCAGCAGTGGAAGCTCTTTCCGTTTCACTCTTGGAACAAAACAGTCAGGCTGAGCTTCACAGGAAGTTTTGTATTCTATGATTGGCTCACATGGAGATGTGGGTGGATAACGTCGCAATTTCCACCTCAGCTAAAAGAGGAAGGTTTGTATTCATTCATAAAATACAAAACTAACAATTAGGTGTCAGACTGGCCCACAAAAATGCAAAAAAACAAAACGCCACCAAAAAGAAAAAAAAATTGGGGGTCCTGATACCTCAGGGAAGCTGCTATTCCTTTTTGGTAAACCCAAAAAAACAGACAAAAAAAAGTAAAAATGTAATAATGTGGGGTTTGTGGGTTAACACTGTTTTTAATTGTCTATAAAATACAAAGCTGCCTGTGAATGGCTGAGCAGCACTTAGCCCGACTATTTTGTTCCAGATGTGAGGGAAGTTCTCCCACTGCCAAAATGCTGCTCTATAATATATACACTGCGCAGAGCTGAAGCTACATACCTTAAAATTAATACAGGTCACCTACCAAGTGCACCTAGCAGTAAAGTAGTTGTTTCGGCCAACTTGGATCAAAGAAGCTATTTAAAAAAGGACAGTAAATGTGGCTTTAGACTTTAAATGGTTAGGTGCCTGTGTAGAGGTGAACCACGAGGTGGTCTGTAAAATATTGCAATAAATAGGTCAAATACATCATCATCATTTTTTATTATATCCCCTGTGAATTGTGCTGTACTCCAAGAAAAGGATTTTACAGGTAAACTAAAAATCCAATTTTCACTATTGTAAGCCAAAGGATGCAGGACATCTTAATATCTATTACAATAAGGATGTTCCAAAGCACTGCATAAAAGGAGAAGGCAAACATGCCTCAAAAAAAAAAAAAAATTTCAGAATGGGTTAGAACCTTACACAGCAATGTGCAAGGCCCTCAGACCAAATGTTGTGTCCACAGAGGCCTGAAAAACTACCTGGCAGAACTTAGTAAATGTATGAAATGAGGACCAGGTAGCAGCCTTACACAGAGGCTTGATGTTGAATAGCCCAGGATAGACCAACACTATTGGTAGAATGAACTGTCACAAAGAATGAAGGAGCCTTTCCTTTAATGTAATAACCTTGAGAAATTAGATCCATCTAGGAATAATAGATTTTGAAGTTGCCTGACTCTTCCTTGATCCTTCAGGAAGCAAAATGGAGCTATAAACCTTCACTGGACAAAACACACCCAAAGTATATAAGGCCTTGTCCCCTGGTGTCTGAGGATTAGGGCAGAACAAGGATATTATATCCTGGTTGAGATGCAGAAGGGAAACCACCTTGGGTAAGAAAGACTGTGTTGTAAAGACAACTTTATGCCAACGAATGAATAGGAATTTGATACCCTACAAGTCAATGTAATGGCTATTAGAAAGACAACCGTATGTGTCAGAAGCACTACGGAGAGTTACTGTGCTGCAGTATCTGCATGAGCACTCAAGGGTGGGCCATCTCCACGACCAGGCCAACATATTCCAGACATTGATTTGGAGGCAAGGCTGGTTTTTGGAAGTTTAGGACCCACTGAGACATTGCCAAAATCTGTACTGTCCAAGGAACATTGGAATCTAGGACTGAACAGACTGCTCCCTGAGCAGAAGATTGACCAGATTGATCCTACAATGAAATACCCAGGGTTTGCAGGAGACCCATGACCGGAGCCAACACCTTGCTGAACTTCAAGGGAGCAATGCATAGCCCTGCTGCAAACATAGTATCAGCCCTCCGCAGGACCCTTTGGTGAGGCTGGGAAATCAGCATGTGCAGATAGGCCTCCTGGATATCCAGACACCAGAAAGTCTATCAGCTGTAGGGAGGTGACTACCAAATGGACAGACTATCCGCAATATTTGCATCTAAAAGGAACTTGTAGGGTCTAGAATTGGACAAACATTGCTGTTTGGCTTGGGAGCCATGAAGAGGTTCGAGTAGAATCCATGAAACATCTCTCCATCTAGAACCAGAGCGATCAATCCTTGTATGCATAAAGGGGGGCTAGCGCTGAAATTTGTTTGCAACCCTACGCCACCACACTGTAGACCCAATCTTTCGCAATCTCCCCAGACTAAATTTCCACAAAGGCACGCAATTGGCCGGTCTCCAATGGATGTACACTGTACCCAAGGTCAAGGTTCCGGTCCCATTTCCCAGTGCTCCTCCTCTTTGAAAACAGTGTTTTTGTGTTGCAGGTAGAGGATAGAACACTCTGCCTGATCTGTCGATGCCAGGTTGGAACAGTAAAAAAACAAAAAACAAAACAAAACTGCGAAACAAGAGACACAAGAGGAGACAGACAAAGACCAAAACTGTGGCATGGCACAAGAGATTGGGAAAACAGGGCAAGAGCACCAACAGAAACCACAGGAGATATGCAGAACCCCCCCTTCCCCAGGGTACAGTTTCCAGAGTGACCACCGATCAAAGGCACTCAACCATTTTACACTGCAAAATCCCAAAGCGAGTTGCAACTTTGTCCATCAATGCCGGTGCACACACTAGTGCCTTCAGTAACACAACTTCCCAGCTGGAGATCTCTACCTTGGACATATAACGCACTGTGTTAATCCACCAGACAGTGCATAATTGTATAGGATCCAGCAACATTACAAGCTGTCCCTGCATGCCCATCGCAGGGTCCAGGTACCATTGCCTTTATTTCAAAGATCGATGGGAAATTGAGTATTTGGGCTGAGACTGCAAAGGCAAAAACACTCGCCTAAAGACACTAGAAAAAAAAACTAGAGGCTGTGCTGAGCAGGAAGGGATTATGCCTGGGAGGGGATACTTGCCTTTTTTTTGCCACTGTCCAATCACCTAAAGGTGGCAGCATAACCCTACCATAATGGATATGAAGATGCCCTGTTGATTTTTGCCAGAATTACAGCCATCTTTAGTGAACTACAAACCCCTTCTCCCTATGTAACAGAAATTAGGAGTTTTCAAGCTTTAAAGGTCGGAACATACTTCTGGAACTTTTAGATCTGGTGCGAATTCCTTCTTCCATATCAAATATTTCATCTCCCTTTACTTTAATATCCTGTAGTCTCTTGTCATCCATTGTAATACCATATTGGAGAATCTTGCACAAAGCGACTGAACTATGAGGGCGAGAAATGCAAATTATGGAGAGAAAACAAGCTGCAAGTCACAGACAGCATTTGTATGTCAACCAGCTTAAAAAATAACCACATCTCCAAACAGTAGGAACTAGAAAACCATATCAAGCAAAGGCTGAAAATTAATAATAGCTAAAGATCACAATTAACCCACTGAGATGTTAAAAGATGAAAAAAAAAAGTATTTCCTAAATAAAAGTGTCAAAACAGACTGCCTAACATTCTACCATTGAAAAATACAATACAGAGTATAGGTGAATAAAATCACAACTCGGGTGCTCTAAAACAAAATCTCGCTCACCTGACTTTGCCTTCATATTGCCCATAGAACAAATGTTGTCGACTCATCCACTCTGTCATTACAAACTCTAGGGCTGGTTTACCAGTTGGGCCAGGCAGACTACAAAGGAACTCAAGCAAAGGCTCCAGTTGAGAGTTTGCTAGATGTGCAAACACCATAATTAATGACTGAAAAAAAACAAAAAATAAAAAAAATTTCGACAATTCCCAGAACTACATACAATGGCTATAGTGCACTGACAAAGATATGTTTATGTAATACCTGCATGACACTAAGTGTTTCTGCTTGCTGCATCTTGCTAAGGATAGCTCGCAAAATTTGGTCTAGATTTTCTCCCAGTTCACGTCCAGCCTTAGAAATTAGGGTAGAGACAAGGCGCCCCACAAATGCTGCAGTGAATTCAGACGTGCGAGGATCCAATAGTTGGCTAACTACTTGCATAACATACCAAAGACCACTATGTCCTTGTTCATCCTGCCACTGTGCAATCTGCTCCAATGCAACAGAAACGTAGGCTCGAAGACATTCGCCACCATTCTGAAAACAGAAGATGCAATAAATCCTAGGTTTGAACACCATACACCACAGCCAATGTTCCTAATATAGTTATAGCCATCCTACTCCACAGCCTCTAGATACCATATGTTTGTTCTCAAGAAATGGTAACCTCAATATTAAAAGGGGTACCTGCATGGTGGTATTGTCATCCGTACGTAGGGTACACTGGGCCACGGCAGGAAAGGCCTGACAGATTAGAAGCTCTGAGAGCGGTGCCTTTGTGTTCCTCACAACTGTGGTCAAAATATCAATTGAAGTCTGCAGAAGAAATTAAAACAAAAAGTGGTGAGATAAAGTATATGTCTTTGTAAAAAGTCAACATTTGTCACAGTTTTTATATATAAAATATCAATGTAAACCAGGTGTTACTAGTTACCTGCAATCAGTACCAAATACCTTTTAAAAACTGCTTTATAGCAGGTCAGAGTTACATACGCTTCAAATGTCATATAAACGGGGGCTATTCTGAGATGCCCTTTATCACAATCGAAAATTACCAGCAGAGCTCTAGTTGTTTAGAATAATAATAATTATTCAATGTGTTTTAACCACTTACCCACCGCGGTATAGCAGATATACTGCTACACGGCGGCACGTGCGTGCAAAATCACGCATATATATGTGATTTTGCGTTTCTGGTTAGGGGGCACACGTGCCCTACCTACGCCACCATTCGCGCCCGCGGATGTCAATCATTGGGTCCTGGCCGGTGATTACCCGCTGGCGCCCGGTGATTACCGACAATCACCAACGCGAAGGGAGACTGTTTTGTTTACAAACAGTTTTCCTCTCTGTCAGCTCAGGCACACTGCTCGGTCCCAAGCAGTGTACTTACAGTGAGGCACATCCCCCTGCCCCCTAGTAAAACTCTCACTACACTCAGTTAACCCTTTGATCGCCCCTCACATTAACCCCTTCCTGCCTAGTGTCATTAGTACAGCGTCAGTACTGTTTTTTAGCACTGATCACTGTATTGGTGTCACTGTTTCCTCACAGTGTCAGAATGTCATTACTGGTAGGAAAAAAAAAAAAAAATCACAGTATCTGTATTGCCATTTGTAAATGCTAAAACGTTCACGTAAACCAATTAATTTACACATATTGGGATTTTTTTTTTTTTTTAGCAAAGACGTGGCAGAATACATTTTAGCCAAAATGTATGACAAAATTTGCAACTGGAGCTCCTGAGGATTTACCCCCTTAATGACCAGGCCTCTTTTTGCTACTCGGCGCTGCACTAGTTCAACTGATAATTGTGCGGTCATGCAATGCTGCACCTAAACGAAATTTACGTCCTTTTTTTCACACAAATAGAGTTTTCTTTCGGTGGTAATTGATCACCTGTGCGCTTTTTATTTTTCCTCAAATATGTAGACAAAAAGAAAAAACATCAGCGCCCAGGATTCTCTTATTAGACACACAATTCCCCGTGAGATGCTGCTGTACACAGGTGCAAAAACCAAAAAAACTTATATCAATAAATACCAGCGCAAACCCACATAATAAATTGCATCACCCAACCTAATTAGACAAACTAAAAAAAAAACGTGACCACTTATATGCTAATGAAATAATAAAAAAAATATATATAAATACATAAATAAATAAATATTGAATTAATAAGTCCAGTGACAAAAAAATCCCAAAAATAACAGTCCCGTGACAAAAATTGTAATTATACTGTAATTTTCATTGGATTCTTCCGTGCTTTTGATCCCTTCCCCATCCACCAGTGCAAAAACCAACATTAACCGCACTCACCAGATATTAGTGAGTCACACGCCTTTCAGGAATATTAAGGGCTCCTGGACCCCCTTTACTTTATATAGGACCTCCAAATAATACCTCCTTTCAGATCTGGGTACCTCTTCTGGTTACTCCTCTCACCGAATCCCCCAAGGAAAATCAGGAAGAAGAAAAAACCATAGCGTAATACCGTAGTGATTTCTCATCAAAAAAAAAAAAAGAAAAACATCTCTCCAGACCACTCACATTTTAGCAGGATATAACCCACATTTTATTTGAAACAACAACGATCTTTCTTTAAAACGATCCTCTTTCCATGTACAGCGACTCTTGCATAAAAGACCCCACAGCCTAGTATACAGCAGGATGGCAGACCTCAGATGCAGACTCATACACTATTCAAAAATGGCCCCTTTGAACGCACCGCTCAGCGTGCGTTCCACTCACCGGAAATGACGTCAGACGCCGGAACAGACCGTCTGTTCCGGCGTCTGACGTCATTTCCGGTGAGTGGAACGCACGCCGAGCGGTGCGTTCCAAGGGGCCATTTTTGAATAGTGTATGAGTCTGCATCTGAGGTCTGCCATCCTGCTGTATACTAGGCTGTGGGGTCTTTTATGCAAGAGTCGCTGTACATGGAAAGAGGATCGTTTTAAAGAAAGATCGTTGTTGTTTCAAATAAAATGTGGGTTATATCCTGCTAAAATGTGAGTGGTCTAGAGAGATTTTTTTTTTGATGAGAAATCACTACGGTATTACGCTATGGTTTTTTCTTCTTCCTGATTTTCCTTGGGGGATTCGGTGAGAGGAGTAACCAGAAGAGGTACCCAGATCTGAAAGGAGGTATTATTTGGAGGTCCTATATAAAGTAAAGGGGGTCCAGGAGCCCTTAATATTCCTGAAAGGCGTGTGACTCACTAATATCTGGTGAGTGCGGTTAATGTTGGTTTTTGCACTGGTGGATGGTGAAGGGATCAAAAGCACGGAAGAATCCAATGAAAATTACAGTATAATTACAATTTTTGTCACGGGACTGTTATTTTGGGATTTTTTTTGTCACTGGACTTATTAATTCAATAATTATTTATTTATTTATGTATTTATTTATATATATATTTTTTATTATTTCATTAGCATATAAGTGGTCACGTTTTTTTAGTTTGTCTAATTAGGTTGGGTGATGCAATTTATTATGTGGGTTTTGCGCTGGTATTTATTGATATAAGTTTTATTTTTCCTGCTTTAAACAAAAAATACCAAATATTTTGAAGAAAAAAACGATATTTTTTACTTTCAGCTATAAAAAAACATATAGTAAACTCAAAGTTAGTTAAAAATTTAGGCCAAAATGTATTCTGCTACATGTTTTTGGGTAAAAAAAAAAATCCCAATAAGTGTATATTGATTGCTTTGTGTGAAAGTTACAGCGTCTACAAACTATGGTATAGATACTGCAATTTACGACATTTTTTTGCTATACAGCGCTGCGCTAGTTTAACGGACAATTGCGCGGTCATGCAATACGGTACATAAAGGAAATTTATGTCCTTTTTTTTAACACAAATAGAGCATTCTTTTGGTGGTATTTGATCACTTGTGCACTTTTTATTTTTGGCGCTATGACCAGAAAAAAGTTTTGAAGAAAAAAAATTTTTTTTTTTGAAAAAAAAAACAATATTTTCTCATTTTGGTCATAAAATATATCTAAAAAAACTAAACTTTCATCATAAATTTAGGCCAAACTGTATTCTGCTACATGTTTTTGGTTAAAAAAAATCCCAATAAGTTTATATTGATTGCTTTTTGTGAACGTTATATAGCGTCTACAAACTATGGTATAGATAATGCAATTTACATAGCTTTTACTTTCTGACTGCCCATCACATTTCTTGAGGTGCTAAAATACCAGGACAGTACAAACACCCCCTCAAATGACCCCTTTTCGGAAATCAGACACCCTAAGCTATCTGCTGAGAGGCATATTGAGTCCATGGAATATTTTTTTTTTTTTTTCTACAAGTTTCTGGAAAATGACAAAAACTTTTTTTTTTTTTTTTTTTACAAAGTTGTCATTTAAATGATTTATTTCTCGCACAAGCCATGGGTATATGTGGAATTACACCCCAAAATACATTCTGCTACTTCTACTACTGAGTATGGGGATACCACATGTGTGAGACTTTTTGGGAGCCTAGCCACATACAGGAGCCTGAAATCCAATGACCACTTTGAAAGCCTGAAGGTGTGTAACTTCCTCATTACACTTCCTCACTACCTATCACAGTTTCGAAGGCCCTGACATGCCAGGATAGCCCCAAACCCCCCCAAATGACCCCTTTCTGGAAAGTAGACACCCCAAGGAATTTAAAAAGAGGCATGGTGAGTATTTTGCAGATCTCATTTTTTCTCACAAGGTTTTGAAATAGAAAAAAAAAAAATAGAAAAAATATGTTTTTGTTTTTTTTCTTCATTTTTCAAAAACTAGTGGCAACAAATGAGATCTGCAAAATACTTACCGTGCTTTTTATCAAATTCCTTGGGGCGTCTACTTTCCAAAAAGGGGTAATTTGGGGGGGTTAGGTGCTATCCTGGCATTTCAGGGCCTCCGAAACTGTGATAGGTAGTCTGGAAGTGTAATGAGGAAATAAAGCCCTTTAAAAGCCTGAAGGTGCTTATTGGATTTTGGGGTCCTGTACTTAGCTAGACTGCCAAAAAGTCTCTCACATGTGGTACCCCCATACTCAGGAGAAAGTAGCAGAATGTATTTTGGGGAGTAATTCCACATATACCCATGGCATGTGTGAGCAGTAAATCATTTAAGTGACAATTTTGTGTAAAAAAAAAAAATATATTTTATTTTTGTTATTTTCCAAAAACTTGTGGTAAAAAAATAAATTCTTCTATTGATTCAACATTCCTCTCAGCAAATAGTTTGGGGTGACTACTTTCCAAAAAGGGTCATTTTGGGGGGTGGGGGCGTTTTATGCCCACCATTAGAAGTTTATGCCACACATCATTCACTCTTCTAACCACCTGAAGACCAAGCCTTTTTGTTCACATGAAAAAAATCAGTATTTTTTGCTAGGAAATTAATTTAAACCCCCAAACATTATATATTTTTTTAAAGCAGACACCCTAGTGAATAAAATGGCACTATTTTTTAGGCACATACTTGCGCAGCGATTTTTCAAAAGCAATTTTTTTTTAAAAAAAAAAAACACACTTTTTTTTTACTTTTAATGCACAAAAAACACAATATATTGGCCAATTGTTTGGTAAAATATAAAAAGATAATGGTATGCCGAGTAAATAGATACCAAACATGACATGCTTTAAAACTGCGCATGCCCCGTAATGGCGACAAACTGCAAACATTTTTAATATCCATAGGCAGCGCTTTAAAAGCCACCATTTTAGATTTTAGATTTACAGAGAAGGTCTAGTGTTAGAATTACTGCCCTTGATCTGACGTTCACAGCAATACCTCACATGCATGGTGCAACCGCTGTTAC